CAGCATGGATACGAGATCGCGAAGCTCAAGAAAGCTCTATACGGCTTGAAGGACGCACCACGAGCATGGTTCAAGAGGTATCGCGAGACTCTAGCCAGTCTTGGTTGGGAGCCGTGTACTTCTGCGCCTGGATTGTGGCGCAAACCGAGCAGCAAAGCACCGGGGAATTTCCTGAAGATGTCTGTCTATGTAGATGACAATCTTGCTACAGGTCCTGACCAAGATGAGCTCAAGACCGAACTAGACCTCATTTTCACACGTGCTCCAGGCCGTGCGATTGAAGTCGAGTCAATTCTAACCCCCTGGGGTCTCGAATGGCTAAAGTTCGACTTCTTAGGTGCGGTCGTGTACTATGGCCGTGAAGCTAAGTCGTTCAGACTGTGCATGGAGCAGTACATCGATAAAATTGCTAAGAAGTATGAAGCTCAACTAGGGAAACCGGTTTACTCGCCCAATTTTGACGAAACAACTTTTCTTGAAGACGGGATCAAGATAGTTGATGGGTATCCCTTTCGTGAGGTAGTTGGTGCCTTACTATGGGTAGCTGTAACCGCGCGCCCGGATATCTCTGTTCCGGTAGCAGCGTTGGCTAGACATGTCAGTAAACCCACGTCAACAAGAATGGCCAAAGCAGCCAAGAAAGTCCTAAAATACCTGGTGTCAACAAAAGACCAAGGAGTAGAATACTCACCAGAAAAGGAAGAAGAATTCAACAAAATATATGAGAAACTTCTACCAGAAGGCAGAGACATGCCAGAAGTAAACATATTCAGTGATGCTGGTTTCGCGAACTGCATCAAAACAATGAGGAGTACTAGCGGCTCCATAATGTACTACAAAGGTACACCCATAGCATGGAGAAGTAACCGACAAACGGTTAGAGCCTACTCAACGGCAGAAAGTGAGTATATTGCAGCCTCTGACACGATAGTGCTCAGTGAGATGCATGACTTCTCAGACTTCTATAGGCCTCTTCCAACCCAGTTGGTACACACACAGAACGGCTTGTCTCCCTCCTTAGACAATGCTGTATTGTGGATAGACAACCAGTCTGCGATCACAACAGCCAAAGCAACAGACGCTCGCCCTAAAAGTAGACACTATGCTTTACGTTATCTAAGAGTGCGCGATGCTGCTAGTAAGATCGTGTTCTGTCCTACCAACTTGATGAAGGCAGACCCACTTTCGAAACTAACCTGCAGTGCCACTCAGCGTAGGCTTATTCTACACCACGTAGATAACCCAATAACTACAAGTAGAGAAGATGACTGTGATTCCTCTGATGATGAAACGGAAGAGGATGATTTAGCTTACTATAGCGTAATATACTCGGTTTATTTTGGTTTCTAAACCACCGTAGCCAAGTCACATACACTAAACAAGAGACGTGATTACCGTGACTCAACACACAGTGAGGCGGTCACGTGAGACGGACTTCAACCCGCATCGATTGAGGAGGGGTGTTGGTCATGTATGGTTCAAGCCTCTCGGATGTCGTGGCGTTCTGTTCTCAGTGGCTCACACAAAGCCTCGTGCTCGACTATCATCGGGATGATCTCACAAGACATGAATGTCAATGATCATGAATGCTACTTCCAATGCACACTCAATGCACATTCAATGCATAATCATAATGATCAAGTGTAGACTAGGTACGTGTGTGCTGATCCTAGTCGTATGATGCATGTTCAGTCCGATCCCTTCTGACATGCTTATGTTGATGAGGTATGATTCATCTCACCCAATGAACCAAACAGGGACTACACCAGCCAGAGATCGCAAGTCTCAGGCAGGATTGTCAAGATTTGCTTGCATTCAAGATTCTGACTTTGTGTTTCCACTGAGAAACGAACCAAGGCACGGAGGCCTGTGTTCTTGTGGTCCAACAGAATCAATTTCCAATAATCAATACACCATCTACAGTGGATGAAGCTTTCCTCAGTAGATATCTTCACTCATAATTTTCGATACCACTATAGATACGCTTATAGATGTTATCATAGCTTGTAAGCCCATGTACTCCACCTCAAGTACACACTCTGTGTATAATTATCTGCTCTACTAAAAACGCCTCCTCCCATGTATGTACTCCAAGTACACACCCTATTTATAAGCTCTAATTCTTCCCCCTATGAAAAGCGCAAAGGGTGCAGCAGCTGCAGCCGACGGTGACGATGGGACGTCTATCGTGAGACGGGTAGAACACACAGTGAGAGAGGAAAGAGAGTGGGCCCTTCGCGTGGTGAAAAAAAATCATCAAGCCATGATGCAATTGGCGGATGCACATGGGTTCATCCCTTTGAGTTTGAAGAAGAGCGAGTCCGTGTTCACAACGAAGGAATTTATGATGGGAGGTTATCAACATCATGAGAGTAGGTGGATAGCTTTTGTAAGTAGTGATTGATTGAGATGTATCTTGAGTAGATTGAAGGTTCACCTGCAGATTATGTAAAAAAAAAATTATTCCTAAACTACCCTAAACCCTAAACCCCTTCTTCATTCCTTTGCAGAAATGGAACGAGGAGCTCGCTACGAAGGATGTAGCCTACGAACTGGCTCAATCGGAACTAGTGAAAAAGTGCTGCAAAGTTGCCGCAACCTATGTCCCGGTCCTCGAAAAGTTGTCGGATTTACTAGCCACGTTAGACGTTCTACAAGCCTTTGCCCATGTAGTGAGCACTGCAACGGCGAAATTTGTAAGACCAAAATTGGTGTTGCAAGAAGATGATGAGGGAGAGGGGACAGCAGCGGGTGTAGAAGGGACTGCAGGGGCAGTGGAGATGAATGGGAATAGTTCTAGCAACGGACATAGCAGGGGCAGTGGAGACGTTGACATAGACATGGCAGACCGAGATGCAACAACCCATGGTAGTTCGAAGCAGCAGAAGAAGCGTCTTTTCCTCAAACAATGCACCCATCCCCTAGTCCAAGAGAATGATAGTCATTCCAGTTCGCGTTTCGTACCGAACGATTGCTTTATGGATCAGGATAGTGGGAGATTCGTCACGATCACGGGACCAAATATGGGAGGCAAAAGTACCTTCATCCGCCAAGTGGCGTTGTGCGTGTTGCTTTGCCAGATTGGGATGTTCGTTTAAGGCTAAACTTCTTGTCGTGGGTGAGACTGCGCATCGCAGAGTCTACCTAGGTGCTGGCATGCTCGTCGCCTTTGTGATTACTTCCAGAATCATACGTTGAGTCAATGAATCCAACGTAGGCGTTAGGTAACCAACTTTTGCGCAACTAGTAAAATTGAGTTACTAGAGACCTGGTGCTCGTCAGCCTGCCTCCATTGAGTTACTAGAGCCAATCACGTCTCTGCTCTAACTCCTCCCAGCCGAAGAAGCAGAAATGTCAGTGTTTACGAGTATCATGGCAAGAGTCGGAGCTTCGGATGCGCAGCTAAAGGGCATCTCAACATTCATGGCGGAAATGCTCGAAAGTTCCACAATTTTGCAGGCGAGCGACGAGAGGGCGTTGGTTATTGTTATGAGACAACTTATTTAGAGACTGTGTGACGACCCATTGTGCGAGACCTCGTGTATGAAGTAGGATGAATGGACCAACATGAACATGATCAGATGCTTATTTTTGGCTAGAAGTAGATTTTGGTTTCAGGAGATGTCACAGCAACAGAGGTCTCTTCTTGAAGCGAGTTCTTACTTTCTCTAACCTCTTCGACGAGTTAGGTCGCGGCACCAGCACACAAGACGGGTATGGGCTCGCCTATGCGATTGCGAAGTACCTTTGTTCCGAAAAGCAATGCTTCACGTTATTTGCAACGCATTTTCATGAGTTGTTATGGACTGGATACACTCATGAATTACAAGACGATAGTAGCATCTCTAGAAATTATCAGTGAATTTTTTGTACGTAGAAACGGAGATTGCTCATGAATTACAAGAAAATAGTATAGTATAAAGGACGTACATGTACGTATAGAAGACTATATGAAAGGGATCTTTTTTTTGTCCAAATGGATTTTCCTCGAGCAAGAAGACCACACGTGATCGTAGGGAATGCACTTCTCCTGATCACTGCATCATCACGAGAAATGGTCGAATGCTCTATAATGAATGACTAAGAATCTCCTCCTCGGCACTTCAAGTATTTCCAGTTCAAAACCTCGTCTTCTAATACCCGGTGAACTCCAAGCCGAACTCGGCTCCGCAGTACAGAACAAGCATGCGGTTGCCCTGGTTGATGACAACGATACGAAGCTCACGTTCCTTTATGAAATGCGTGATGGAGTGGCCGATCGCAGCTACGGCGTGCACGTCGCCAGACTGGCCAAGTTTCCACCCACTGCCGTCTTGTCCGCGAAGAGAACAGCGGATTTTTTGTTAAGGCTACCAGTAAAGGTAAAGCATTAGCATCCTCAGCATAATTTATCCTTGGTCTCTATTTTGAACGGAAAAAAGAAAGCGCCCAGAATATGATTCTCAAGGAAGACGACACGCGGTAGCTCTAATCTCAGAAAGACGTGCCAGGAAGAAACTTAAGTTAGAAGAGAGTGGGAAGTCCTTTACGGCAGTAGATCAAAAAGACGCCGCTGATGATGAAAACGCTGAAGACAAGAGCATTGCAAAGTTGTTAGCACTGTTTAACACCGATTCCGCGAGTGGCTTTGCATCGGCATTACTCCAAGATGCCATCAGCAAAGAAGACTTCGTGCAGAAAGTGATGACATTGGCCACTGCGGGAGGTGGGGCAACTGCCACGAACTGAAGGACGATAGATACCTCTCGGTTTCCATGAAATAGAAATTTCGATTTTTTTAGTCAGCCTTAACGGAAAGAAGCTAAACTAACACTGGAAATAGCCTTTTGCAAATCTAACTCTATCACTGGAATCAATAACAAAAGAATATGGGTGAAGCATTTGTTGAATGATGTTGCGTGTACAACAAGTCTGCGCGGCGCGCTAGCGAGAATTGCAGCGGCCTCAATGCACCGCGTATCCAAGAAGGCTTTGTTGAAAAAAGTCGCACAGGTTTGGTGAGAGCATTGAAATATGGAACTCAAGAACAAAAGAACAAGGAAACAAAAGTTAATGATTTCCAAACAAAGAACAAAAGTAAACAGGAGTCGACTTAAGTGGAAAGATTTTACGACTAAAAAGTCTGAGAACGAGTGGCTCATCTTTCATCTACTCCACTACAAGTACAACGTCCGTGTCACAGCAAGAAAAAGTAAAAATGTCTCTCCCGATCCAAGTAGACGATCATATTCAGCCCGACGGCCCTGCCGGCTTAGGCATGGGCAAGCCGAGTCGATCGTTCGGCGAAATCCTGAGGGATTATGACGCGATGTCTGCGGAGTCTGGCCTAGATGATGAGCTTATGCGAACACCGCCAACGATGACGCGAGAGCCACTGGAAGTAGTTGTGGAAGGAGAGACATCACTGGAAGCGAGGTTACTAACCTTATGGGTACTTAGCTTGTTAGACGGGGTTCTTGGATCGTCATTTAAGTTTAACTGGTACTTCTACAATCGAGCAGATGTCGGTGGGGCTCGATCATATGCAGGATCCAAGACCTAACCTAACCAGATCATGAACGGGCTACTAAGTAACATCTCTCATCAAAACCATTCTCACGTCTTCCAAAAACAAAGTCCCAAGTCATATTAGATACACTCATGAACATGATCTTCTAATACAAGAATCCAAAGGCAAGCCTTCATCTATCTAACATCCAATGCCAAAAGCAAACCCGCACCCAGCAGTACTGGCCCTTCTTTAGCCGAGTTGGAGTTGGCGGAAAGGGAGTTGAGGGATTTTGTGAAAGGTCCGAATCAAAGTTGGCGGCAACTGTGCGAAGCAGAGCGAAAACGATGGACAGCAGCAGAACTGGAGATCCGCAGGCTAGAAGATCAAGCATTGCAGGTGAGGAATGAGGTATGGCGATGAAGATTCAGAGGGGGGTTCTTGTGAAGAATGTCGCTCGGTTGTTTTTTGAGTGTTTTTTGATGAGTGTACCCCTTTCTCCTAGAAGTCTGGATCGATGTGGAATGGTTAAGGCTTGCTTCACAGATCTTTTTAACTTAGCTAGGTTATTTAGGTGCTATTTTACAGCTCCTAGCTCTAAACATGTATGGCACAGCGTGACCATCTTAGCGCTTCCAACTTCATTCATTCCTGTAAGTCTCGGCTCTTTTCTCACGCTTAGCTGAGATTGATATGAAAGGAAGATTGACTAGTTGTATTAAGTTTCTTTTCACTAGGCGGGTCAGGGTTTTTCATCGAAGGAATCAGTGAGAGCATCTCCACCATCTCCTTGTTGCTTCCACTCCCCTAGACGAGACCTTACCCTTCATCTCGGAACGAACGCAAAGCTGCTTTGCGGCAGCACGTTGCAGAGGCGAGGGAACGTGCCAGTTTGATTGTGGCTGAATACGAGGCACAGCTCGAAACACTCAAGGATAGATACGAGACACGCATATGCGAAATTCAAAACGAAAGGAAGCTGGCGGCCGATGAGGAGGAGGAGACGAGGTAGTTTGAAAAATCCATTCGGCTTGATAATTACGATGATGAGGAAGAGACGAGGTAGTTTGAAAACTCCATACGGCTTGCTAATTGCCGATGCCATCATCGATGAAAAATCGGAATCTTCTAAATAGTGATTTTTGAACCTCCGAAACCTGAAACAGGTTAGCCTTCGAACGCGCTATCGAGTGGGAGAAGGTTTTACGGCGACGAGAGAAAGAGCAAGAGTCGCAACAGCAGCAAACGGAGCTCGCGTCAGAAATGATCCGAATGCGGCGCGAGATCGCAGCAAAGTTAAGGCTTGGTAGTAGTAGTTCATCTTGAAACGGAATCTAATTCAGAGTCAAGAAGGGTAGAAGAAGTGCTTTTAATAATAGGAAAGAACTCTAGAGTAGATGCTGTGCTGCTCCAGAATTATGGTGCAACTAGGAAAAGTAGAAGTATAAGAAAAAGCATGGACCGTATAAGCTAATAGCATGGACCGTATAAGAAGAGTAGAAGTATAAGAAAAAAGACTACCTATGCGTATCTCTAACCACAGAGGCCGCCATAGAACAGTTTAAAGATAAGATGCTGGATGACATGAGTGCTTTGCAGGATGAGATTGAAACACTGAAAATGGAGGCGAAAGTTGCTGTTGGAGCCACGTGCTGATCAATGTTGATGATGGTGAGATAATGAATATTTCTCTAGGGTCGACGTCGATGTTGAAGCATTCTTCCTAGATCCGTGTCTCTATTCCAATTCCAAACAGAAATAGCTACTACTTACGCCTGTTGTGAGGCAGCTGAGTCTAGAATATAAACAAGACGACTCTGCGTCCACCGGTGTTGTTCTCTGAGTGTGAGCTAACTGCTTCTTTGTTTTTTGAGTGCTGTCTGAGAGTTTTCTTTGGACGTCGAGAGGAAAGAGCGTTCATGAGAGACCTAGTACTATCGTGGAGAATACAATATTCACACTACAGATTGTGATCAAACGAGTGACGGTGTGTGGAGCTGAGAGCTTGTTCATATTATCTAGTACTTCACCCAATTTCATCTCAGAATATTTATATATTTAGACATGTTGTGGTTTCAGGATGTAGACGTGCATGGACAGTGATAATTAAATTTTTTTGAAGGGTATCTTTATAATGGTTGCTTGCCTCAGAGCTCGTTCATAGTTCCGTGAGCAAGATAAGGATTTCTTTTTCTTTTCTATTTAGCGAACAAAAATGAAGTCGTCCAGTTGCAGTTCATCCTCGTCATCGTCGACAAGGTCATCGCCCTCGATGACGTCGTCCACTTGCAGCTCAAGATGGACCTCGTGTCCTTCGAAGTCGTCTACGACTATTCTTCCGCATCACAAGTACCGTCCATACCGGAAGATTTTACTCGGAGGTACTCTTTTGGCAAGCTACGAAATGGTCACTCTATTTCTTCATGTCCATGCAAATGAAGACACGAACAAGCATTGTGGCCATTGGGCGTCGCAAGGTGAGTGTGCTACACGCCCGAAATACATGTGGAAAAACTGTCCAGCTTCCTGTGCGAGAGAAGCTCCAGACACAAAGCCGACTGAAGCGGGTGAAGGGTCTATTTACGATGAAGAGGATTACATTGTTCTAAAATTGGTCTAAGTGGGGAGTTTGAGTTTTTCTAGTCGCTTGAGAAATGATAGCAGTTCTTGTACATCGGTTTCGGTTGTTGGTAGGCGGGGTCGTTGATAGCAGTTTTGTACATCGGTAGTCTTTTGATAGATACTATCCTCTAAGAAAACGGCAAGGAAAGTGGCGATAAGAACGATCACTGTGGTGCATGGGGAGCGGCAGGAGAGTGCCAGAAACGGAGGAAATTCATGTGGTTGAACTGTCGAGGAACGTGTCTGAAGGTAGATCCAGGCTTAGAACCGACATCAACGGATGCACCAACGACAGAAGCAGCCACTACAGAAACACCAACGACAGAAGCAGCCACTACAGAAGCAGCCACTACAGAAACACCAACTACAGAAGCAGCCACTACAGAAGCAGCCACTACAGAAACACCAACTACAGAAGCAGCCACTACAGAAACACCAACTACGGAAGCACCCACTACAGAAGTACCCACTACAGAAGCACCGACAACGACGGAACCAACGACCACAACAGAGGCTACAACGACGACGGAGGTGACGACAACGACCACCGCCGAGCCAACCACCACAACTACCGAGCCGACTACTACCACTACAGAGGCAACAACGACTACGACGGAATCAACTACTACTACAACTACGACAGAGCCGACGACGACGAAAGAGGAGCCAACAACTGCTACCACTACAGAAACAACGACCACAACGGAGGAACCCACTACGACTCCTACCACAACAGAAGAATCAACAACCACTACGACGACAGAGGAACCCACTACGACTGCTACCACTAAAACAGAGGCAACGACGACCACTACGACGACAGAAGAGGCAGTAACCACTCCAGCAGTAACTACTCCAGAGTCAACAGTAGCTTCGACTACAGATACTACCACTAGTGCCTCCACCGGTCCCGAATCTTCAAGCAGCACCACTGAAAATCCACCTACCGAAGAAGGGGGCGCGACAACTTCCACTACTCCTGCAGAAGTGGATACTACAACTCCTGCAGGAGCTTCTACAACCCCCGCAGTTCTACTAGAAGATGAAGAAGACGATGGCCTGATCCTCCAGCCAGCCGCGAATTATGCTAAGATGGAGAGAATAACAGAAGAGGAGTTCATTGAAGACATGCAGTCTCATAATAGGACCTTCGATGAGATCATGGCGAAATTGCAGTTGGTAGAAACACGGGATTCGGAAGATCTGAGAGCAGAAGCAAAGAAAGAAGAAGCGGAACTGGCTGATGAAAAACCAAGGAAAAAGTTATGACTCGGTGTTAGTTTGTCTTTGTCAAATTTTGCGTTCTCATTCTTCACAAATTTCAATGTACTACATGGAGTCTACTACGTACTAGGATCAGTTGTACAATTCGAACTTGATATAAGTACTACATGGAGTGTACGTACTAGGATCAGTTGTACAATTTGAACTTGATTCCTTCGCCACATTGTTTTCTTACCAGAGTAGATTTTCCGCGAAGGAATGTACTTGTTCGGGATCACACACTCTAAAACACGGAGAAAAGGCTAAGGTGGGAACAGTGAAAACAGGGAAAGAATTGATGGAGTCTTTGGAGACAGTTCCGACGGTGAACCAGATGCGAACCAAGTTTGCGAACATTCAGGTGAGCAAATAGAATGTAGATGTTGTTTTAAATGCACGGAGTGTAATTTTCTTCACTTGATGGTTGTAGTAGTTGTTTTTCACGCGATGATTCTTGACAATTATGAGCTTTGCTTCATCTCTTTGTCCTCTTCAGGAATGCTGAAATGCTATGCTAGCTAGAAATTTTGTGTTATTTCCCAAAGTGGGATCCATCTTCACCAACACCCTTTGGAAGAAAATCTCATTCGCAGGCTCGCGCCGCGCAGTTTGAGGAGAATTCAACGGACACGCCTTTTGGAGGAGAGTTAGACGAGATGGTGTCCTACTCGTTTAGCAGTCTAGACCATACTGTGGTAGGGAAAGGAAATCAGAATCACCTTTTATGCTATGCCAAAGGTGTAGGCGGTGTTGGCACATGCCGAATTGTCAAGACGTTTGCAGGTATAATTCATCTTCTACTGATGTTTGTGATGTCATCGCATCCTAGTCTCACTGCATGCTTGTATGTAAGAGGGATGTTGGATGGCATGGATTGCATGGCATGGCATGCATTGCATGAGCCGAGGGGGTCAGTATGCGACCTCCTTAAGGGAGCGACACGAGGGCGAAGACTCAGGGCGCGACATAGGGGGGCCACCGCGTTGCTGTCTGTTTTGCTTCTTGCGTTTGTCTCTGCGCAGCCCGCCTTCCTCATCTTCAGCCACCCCCTTCTCGTTTTATTGGCTCTTAGTCTCACTGCATGCTTGTACGTAGATATTCGTCGCATATTTATTTGCTCCTAGTCTCACTGCATGCTTGTACGTAGATATTCGTCGCATATTTTTTTGCTCCTAGTCTCACTGCATGCATGTACGTAGATATTCGTCGCATATTTATATGATCTTAGTCTCACTTCTGCATGTTCACCCTGCTCATTCGCCGATTGATTCTCCAGGTCGCGCCCACAACGACCTCGTAAAGGGCAATGGTACGGAATTCAACGTACGGGGCATTCGAAACCTGATGGTGAAATCTATCACAAAAAAGTTTTTCGTCCTATGCCATGATAGCACAGCAGCGGCAGGATGTTTTATTCTGGAAGTTCGAGAGAGCGAGAAACAGGAACAGTCAGGCGATATGGATTGGCCAAGTATTGTGTACCACAACCGCGTTGGTGAGGCCTTTGCTATGGGTGCAGTGTCGAAGGTATGGTGGGACAAATTGTGTATGTAAAACTTAGTTCCTCTACCAATTGATGAGTATTTATTCTGTCACGACTCGCCTGGTACAACTCCAGAGGGTGATGGAGATGCTCTCACCAGAAAATAGACGCTAGTGTTGGTGGTAGCCTGTTCAACGTGCTCATCAAGTTCAGCATCATGGAGCTTCTGGAGCAACTTTTTAGACATCCAATACCCTCAACACTTCTTCTTTCACCCTCAACACTTCTTCTTCCACCCTCAACACTTCTTCTTCCACCCTCAACACTTCTTCTTCCACCCTCAACACTTCCACCCTCAAGAACACTTCTTCTAATCTTGCTGTTATCTTTGATCGTGACTCGTCCTCCTGTGCATACGGAATTGCGGACGACGGCAGCCGAATTCGCTGTCTGCTACAAAACTCTCGGAACGGCCCTGGGCCGTCGAAAGAAGGGTTCTGCGCAATATCAATGCGATCAAGGCACTTTTGATGACCGAGATCCAGCATCATTGAAGAAATTATTGCCACAAGAAGAGGACACAGCAGGAGGGGTAGAGCAGGAGGAAGGTAGTTTTTCCGAGGGTGATGTGCTAGAGGGTGATGTGCTAGATGTTGGGGTCGTTCAGAAAGAGAAGGGCCGCCCGAAAGAGGAGTTATAGAAGATAGCAGGAGAAGGACAGATTTTACTAGTGGACACGAAGATGCTGGAATTAGGTTTGTTGCCATATGATTGACAGTCATGAGCCTTTGATTCCGATTGAAAATATGGGCCTATGAAGTTGCATGTTGTTCTTGTTGCGAAGAATAGTGGGACAAAATACGCAGCGGAGGAGGAATCGAACCCCTGGGCATCTCTGCCCCCCGCGGGTTGAAGCCGCGTCCGAGCACCAGCCCGGCTCACCACTGCAGCACTGGCGTGGGGTGTGAGATATAACCGATTGCCAACCTCCGAGAATAGAGCACGAAAATATCTCCTACGGGGGTAGAAATGAAGGACGTGGATCAACATTTGTCCTTCGGGACGACAGTGCTTGCTTTATTTTGCTGTCACTGTAAAAGTTGAGCATTGTTGTAGACATAGATACAGGGAAATCTTAGGCAGATTGCCGAATCGATTCGCGTCATCAGTTACATCGACGCACGTTCTTAGGCACATACCTCTTGTTAGGCACATTCATTCATTCATTCACGACAGTCAGAACTACGAAATAGAGAAAATGTCGCTGTCGTTCTTAAGTAAATCTGCTGTTCGGTTCGAATTCACGAACATTGGGTTTCGATGGAAAGAACGCATCGTGCGTGAAGCCAGGAAAGCAAGGAGAGTTAAGATACTTCACAGATTGTCATCCTCTTATCTTCAAAGATAGTCCTATTTGTACGTATCATATCACAGGGATTTTGTACAACGTATCATATCACATGAACTATAGTGATAGAAAGTACCTAGTCCTCCTAGTAGTATTTGAGGGAAAATAATAGATATTTATAGAGTTCATCATCCTGTGACGAAGCAAAGATTATTTCTGCATCTCGAGGGATCTAATCAACCCCAGATCCACGCAGCAAGAGATCGGGTAGAGCAGTGCTATGCAACTGCTAGGGAGCAAATGTTACAGAAAGGACGTGGTAGGACGGATAAAGATACAGAAACCGGTCAACAGCGACCGTCTGCGCGCAAGCTTGAGGAGGAGAAGCTACGAGAAACAGCTGGTCGATATATTAAGGCTCCCCCTATTAATCCATCTTCGGATTCGGAAGCATCAATCTTGAAAGAAGAAGCTGGTCCATAAGGAGAAAGGAGCATCAAGATGAGTCTCGTGATGGATTAGGGTCGTGAGCTCTAAATATATTGCAGGGCGGTCGGCTTTCGGCTTAGACGATTTCCCTATCTCCGCAAGAGGAGCATTAGACAGAGAAAAAGTAGCAGCAGCTATGGTTAAGGGTTGGAAGTTGACCCCCCTCTGAGCATGTCTATGAGCTTTCCAAGTAGGAAAGGCATAGATATGCGTGGTAGATCGGTCAACTTACGCCCCCTAATATGGATGGGAGCGGAATAGGAACGACTCGAGCCCACGACGCAATGGATACCTTATTATGGTCAACATTTAGTGTCCATCATTCTCGGCATCTTGGTCCCCTTTTGTTCCCCTGTATTCTTCTCATGAATATTGCAAGGTAAAAGAGACCCCAAGAAAAGGGGGACCGAGATGCATTCTAGCACACGCTAACCTTATCTGATTCGGACTTCAAAAAGTTTGCGAAGATTGATGCGGAGCTGCTCTCTTTGCAGATGGACCACACCCAACTGCGATGGCACCTCAACAGAGCGTTTTTGCCGCCGAATATACTTACGGCTTATAATAAGGGATTTGGAGAATGTAAGTATTTTGTATCAACTACGAGTTGGTTATGAAACGAAAATCTGTTATCATTATCAAGTTTCTTAAGTAGAAAAGTACGATAATGATAAGAGACTTTGGCTTCATATTGGTTCCTTACTTCAATGATCATACTTCTTACACATATTCTAGCACAACTTCCACTTTGATTTTGATATTCACAGCAAGAACAGAGTTCGTAGCGGCTGCGCTTCTGAGTGGTACAACTCGGCTCTCTAATGTACGAAAGCACTATGCGATGGGCGGCTCGGAAGCAGAGGGAGACTGATTAGAGGAATTATGAAGCAAAATACACATTGCTTGCTGTCGAAACTAAAGCTTGTTTGATTGATCATGGTGCTAATGCCTAGAGTATGATGATAACAAAGAACCGGATAAGAAAGGACCTGAAATAAACTTGAACCTTGATCATGTTCAACCACGATATCGGACGACGCAGGATTTGTTCCTTTCTACAGAAATTTCTACTTCTGGTCATCACGGAAAGATCAGCATCAGTTCTCGAATTCTCGTCACAACCATTATTTGCGAGGCAACGTATAAAAGGACAAGGTATCAATCTGCATCTGTAGTGAGTGTGAGTCGTCGTGTCATCTTCCCCCAAACCTCCACTGAGCGACATGCGCAATCGACTTCGCGATCGGTTTTCTAAAAATGTTGGAACCCTTCTCATCGATGCGCCACCCAGATGAAGCCATTGCCTGAAATATCCTCATCATAGAAGATGTACTTAGATCTCCCACTCAATTTATTCCCAATATAAAGTATGAAGTACAAGTACGTTGTGCTAGACTTCTCTGGATTACATCAGACGAAAAATGAGGTCGCATTTTATCATCACTCTCTCAAGGAATATCTAGGCGTGGTGAAATGGTTCGGTACTTGAATCCATCAACTACACCACGTTGTAATAGGATAAGGGCAGAAGAACTTCTTCTTTCAGATGAAACACTACTGCTGGTTAGAAGTAGAGCTGCTTCTTTCGCAAAGAATCAGAATGAGCCCTGTGGAAATCTTCGCTGCTTCCGCCGCTTCCCTTACTAGTACGGACCCGACGAGTTTTATGTAACCAGGGATCTTTCGTCGTCTAAAAATTCTTGAGGAGTGTGCAAAATCATAGGACCTGGTGGTCAAGAACCTTCGGATCATTGCTGACAACTAGGGAGCTTTCATCATCATCCTCCCGTTTTCTTGTTGAATATCTGGACAACAATGGAGCTTTCCTCATCTTGTACTGGTTTGCAGCTGCTGTGGAGCACCAATAATAGGATGAGAAGATCCTCAAAGTACTGCCGCAACCGCAGAAGACGCCAGGCCTCTGTTGTCGAACGAATGCTACGTTTAGGGCTATACTCCATGTTTTCTTCGTCCTTTTTAGAAGACTCGTCCTTTTTAGAAGACTCGTCCTTTTTAGAAGACAAAGAAATACTTTTCCTTCTCAGATTCAGAACCACCTACACGTTTCCGAAGATGTTGATCTATGTACTTATAAATAGGAGTGCCTCTTTGTAGTCGTACTGTTCTACTTATCAACATTTTATCAGGAATTAATCTTGAAGATTTGATATATACTAGCTAATCCTACTTTCGTTCCACTTCTAGTACACGTGCATGCTCTTCTTCTAATGCGTATACGTTGTGGAGGTTTGCTTGCTACATTCTGGGTTTGTACTGCAGTGACGAGAAGAAGGAAGGCATCTGAGACGGCTTTTCTTGAATTGGTAACTGATACATCCCGCGCGCAGGATTCAACTTCTTCGAAAGCATCGGAAACTGGTGAAAAATTATGACCAATGTACCACTTGTCCAGCAGATGATTATGCTATTTTTTTGCTTTGCTTTGCTTTGATTACCTATTTTTGGATTTTTCACTTAATATCGACACCTTCTCGCTTTTTCCAGAATGCTGACATTGTTCATGGGTAATGCGTCGGTCCCTTGTAGATGAGGACGAAACAGCTGGTCAACTTGGACTTGATAAGCACGTTGATGTAAAAGTACGATTATCTTTGAATTAATGAAAAAGACTTAGACTTACTTCTAACATCCGCGGGACCAATCTTTTAGGTCAAATGGGGGCTGAATGAAACCCACAATTATAAAGTCAAGCGAAAGCCGACCCTGAAATAATCTTAATCATACTTCTTGGTCTTAGAGACGATGAATAAGCTCAAAAATTAAGATCTTCTAATGTTTGCGCGTGAATGTGTCGAAGAGGGAAAAAATGCAGGGAGGCCTTGCCCATCGGCGGCAGATTTTTCGATTAAGACACTGGAAGGTGGACGAGAAGCGAACCCTTACTATAAGGACAATGAGAGCTTGGCGAAGGCGATAGACGGGGAAACGCAGGAGCAATGCAAGCTTAAGGTTTGGTGCCAAGTGAGATGTGATGTAACTTGATCCTCGCAGTTGAGCTAGGAGCCCGGGGGAGCTCGATCTGAAGGATTCCCAAACTAACATTACCTGCGACTTTGGTTTTTTCTAGTAGGAAATTCACAGATATGTGTAGCACAAACATGCCAGTAAATGTTGGAAACATCTAATGAAAAGCGGGGGCTCTGGTCGACGTGGACGGACTCGACCTGCCGGGCGTTGAGAAGGCGTTCTTCGTCGTCGCAAACAAGTCCAGCAGATTCAGTGCAGATTCTCAAGAACGCTGCGAAGGCGTTCATCAAGGTGATGACCGTCTCTGACGGCGATCTTCCTGTTGCAGAGGTTCCATACAGCATCAACAGCGACCCGCTTGAAGACGGGAGGGAATGGGAAAGAAAAGAGAACAAGGGCAAACCGTTTTCAAGCAATCAGAGGCGCAGGCTGGAGGAACTGTTAAGAAGGGTTTTTTCTTACCTGGTGTCGGCATAGTGTACTATCACAGGCTAGCGCAGGGATGACGACGTCCCTGCGCTGCTGTTAGGTTTCTTCAGTGCGCCCGCTTTGTCTACTATAAGGCAAAGAACCTGGCCAAGGCTATGGCGCGGGAGGGTCACAGACCAGGGCCAAAAAACGCACACGCAACGGACAGAGCAGAAAGGCAAAGAAACGACACAAAAGAACAACACAGACGGCGCTCGCTTTGTCTCGCATGCATAGTGAGAAAGCCGGAGGCCCTGGCCAGTGCTTCGGCGCGCGAGGGTGATAGACCAGAGCCAAGAAGCATACACACGCCGCAGACACAGAAAAGCAAAGAAACAAACGACACAAAAACACGGAGAGACGGGGTGAGAGGTTGCAGGGGCATGGATGTGGCAAAAACACCGCCAAGCCTTACCAGGTGGCTGTAGGCTGGCGGGGGCTTTTCAGAATTGTCGGGGCAGAGGGGGCGAAGGGCTGGCTCGTCGCATCGCTTAGACATGGGGCGTGCGGTTGCGTGTTGCGTTCTACCTGTGTCGCACATGGTTAGAACTTTTTCTCCACGCCAACACGGCGCCCCGCGCGCGGTGTGCATGCTTCGCGCCGTGTGGTATGGGTCAGCGAGCTTCCAGACTGCTAGTTCTACGTACTTACTCTGAGCCAGGCAAGCCACCCCGCGCCCGCCTGCAGGCGCCGCCATCTAAGTCGCGCGCCCGTGCATCAGCTAGCTGCGGCGCCACTAAGGACGGCGGGGTGGCTACATCCTCTGACCCCCCAACTTCTAAACACCAGGAGCAAACTGCTCAGTCCTCACCGAAGTTCGAGGCGCCTTCCTGCCTCGGTGTGTATAGTATCTATTCCTTCACTGCCATGCACCAATAGCGAGTGAGGGGTAGCGGACGAGGGTGGGGCTGGCAGTCTTGTCTGGGCGCCCCCTTCTTCGGTGTTAGCGTAAAGCAATGCAGCAGAGGCTGAGGGAGAGAGAACGAGAGAAGAGCAACAGCAAGCGCGCGCGCTGATTGCTTCATGGTTGGCAAAGTGAACGCCATGGGCACGGGCAAGCATGTGGCTGTATGTATCGCATGCCGCTTGCCTCGGCGAGGAAAGCGAAAGGCGCCAGAGCGATGCGTGAGGGCTTGGAAGGTAGGAGCGACAAAAAACGATCGCCAGGGAACAAAATAAAGACGAAGAGGAGGACAGAGGGGCAAGGGCTGCGGCCGCGTGCTGGGCATGACTTTCGCAGAGGCTCGCCCAGCGGCAAGCGTCGCCCCGAGCGCTGAGGCCACTGAGCGGCCAGCGAGTCAGTTGCGAGCGCGTTCGCCGCTGTGTGTGTGCCTTCGGGTTGAAGCGCCGGGGCTGGTCGGTGACGCTCGGCGAATGTCTTTGCAGGCATGATTCTGGAAAGGAATTTATTTCGCTGGGGCCATCACTCAGTGGTCTCCATACAAAGCACAGCGACGCACTTGACACGGCCGCGCCACGTAACGTCGAGCCCATCGCCGTGCTTCTTATTTGTCTTCTTCTTTTTTCTTTTTAAAAATAAAGTAATGGGATTGCTTCGGTCTAAGTGTGTAAGCCCGTCTTTCTTTTTTAGGTCAAGCTTTTGTTTCCAAAAAGAAACGGCTTTATACCGCGCTGCAAGAGGTCAAAGCTGGCAGGGCACTTCGATTGTCGTTTTAGCTTATAGGAGATAATATACTTCTCACTGGTAGTTTTCGTGTAAGTTTCAAGAATGAGAACTCAAGGAAAGCAGTCTGGGGATATTCTCACTTAAACGATGATTTGATACTGAACAACAACTAGCTGCTCTAACATCGCGGGAGGAATATTTGGCTACGTACACACAGATCGCAAACGAAGGCCGATCTGATCTCAGCATTCTCGGCGCTTTGAACCACAGTTTCCGCGGAATAGCTCAGTCCATTTATCAGTCCCAGTTCGCGTCAGAAGCGAGGGCAATGCCGCTGCTGCTCGAAGCCTTCCAACGCATCTACGCAGAGAAAGTTGCTCGTGCTATCGCATCTGGCCCGATCATCGACACCGGCGAGCTCGATCAACAGTTGAGAAGGCCCTTAGTTCAGAAGTTACGTTGTTCAACTGACTCGATGGTAGCGAAGTGTGTCGAGCAGGCTGAAGCTCGTGGTAGGCCAGGATATCAGAATAAGAAACTGGATGGTCCTTGCGGCACCTCAAGTTTGATTGCGACAGTCAACTTGATTTGCAGTCTCAATTTGGGTCTTGATGAAAAGTGTCAAGAAAATGTCGTAGGGGCACTTGATAGGTTTTGGCGGTCTGTAATGTAATAGGGTGCGGGTGTGTAGTAAATCTGAAAGAGACCACATTTTTAGCTTTCCCCAGAAAGAATAATACAAAAAGAATAACATACAATAATTGCATGCAATATAGTGACAGCTATCGATAGAAAACAGAACCCGCGTCTATCTTCAATTACTACTACAACACAAAAACTAGAAAATGACTCATTTAACTATAACTTTTACAAAACGTCGCTCATAAATGCAACAGCAACATTTTTTTAATACATTGTCGAATGTATCAGAATCACAGGCCATATTTTTTTACAAAATAATGAAATGCAATACTGCAAGCGATTCCAAGTCCAACCACTGACTTCTAACCTAAACAACTTGAGACCACATTCAGGGTCCGCTACCTCAGACTAGCGTGTAGGAATCTGAGACATTCATTGAAGCACCCGAGTTATTCATGGAAGCAGCTGAGACATTCAAATCAACCCACCTGAGACATTCATGGTAGTCGTAGTCTCACTAATCTGCTTCTTATTGAAGTGTCTTCTCCAGTCTGTGTTCGTATCTTCGTGGCGTACTCCCGTTCTAACAAGCTTGGGAAAAGAAGAGCACACTCCTGTTGCAACATGTGGTGCATACTTTTTCTTGTGATCATCCTTGCCGAAAAGGAAGAGCTAGGAGGCTTCCGTGATGAAAGATAGAAATAGAAATGACCTAACGATGAATTGTTTCCGCGCCAAACCTCTAACACTTGCAGTTCATGTAGGTGCAGCTTGAATAGCTAGGAATCACCTTGTTGTGCTCTTGTGAAGAAGCATGCGTAATAAATGTAAGTATTTATTAACCACCATAGGGAAAGAAATCCAAAAATGACCTCCTGCCTCCGTCTCCAGCTGTCTACAAGACAGCTACAGCTGATAGACTATTAACTTGGCTCTAATGCTATATTTTTTTGTCCAAAGAAATTGAATGATCTTGGTCTTCTTCGGTTCAAAACTTTATTAATCCATGGCGATCAGGGTCGCAGTGCGTCAGACGAATCGTCGCTCCCTCTCTAACGGTTGTGATTCGGTAGCTCCTATACCTCAAGAATAGGCTGATATCAATCAATCAACTCGACCCATTTTGAATGACAGAGAGATTGAAGATATTGAAACGAGAACAGCTAAGCCCTCCTCCTAATCACTTCTTACAGATATAGACATCAGCAGTTTTATCAGTGCATCAACGACAAGAACGAGAGCAAAGAAAAATGTTGGTCGTTGACTCTGCTGACGGTGAACATGTGGAAGGGCATGGCGATGATGCATCAACGTCACGGTTGAGAGGCTGTTCCTCTTCTCAGATTCGTCCACTGCACAAGTTAAGGCGGGTGAAAGCACCTCTATAATTGGTTCGGAGCGTAATTTAGTAAATGCGTGCATCATGCTCATGCTCTCCAGCAGGAAGAGAAACTAAGAACACTATATAGCTAGAAGCGCGAAAAAAATGATTTCCATCGTAGTGATCTACTACATTCTTTCACCACGACATCATTTGTCTAAATTGAACAAGCGGCAAGCTGGAAGGACAAGGAAAAGTACATATGCGGCCTCTTCTTGCGTTTTTTATCGTGGTTGGCTGTGTCACTGTCGTTTCCATTGCCTCCGCTGGGGTCTACTTTTCACGCACGTCCTCGCAGTCCGTCGATTACGAATTAGAATATGTTCGGAAATATGAATGACTATCGTTCTTGGTAATATTTACCATTAACGTCTATGCCCAGTCCTTAGTCAGTCAAAAGTCTAGTTCTCTCACATTAAAGGCGGAGAAATATAGAGCAAGTCGGAATATGAAGAGAGGTGGCATCAGGAACCAATACATGATATGAAATATGAAATGTTGATACAGCCAGCACTTCGTCTAGTAGAGTTGGTCCAAGCAGGGTTAAGTGTCTATAGCTCTGATTCAATGATGCCCCTAGCCCTAGATGACTCCACTTCCACCATAATAATGGTAAAACCGCTGAAAATGAGCAGCAGAGACAGCATAGAAGTGAACCAGCACAAGTTCCCTATTCTTGACTTCCCTTGTTCAGGGCTTTTGCCGTTCATAGACATCCCTTTATTAGGGCTCGGGTTAAGGGCTAGGCTAGGGTTTGGGTTACGGTACACGGATCTACTTTGCCTGAGAGTTCATTTTCTTCATCTAATATGCAAATGCATTTCTTGCGACACAGGAAGTGCTTCCAACGACACGGGGGGAGGACCTTGGCCCTGACTATACAAAGATTAATGCCCTTAGTTTTCAGTCTACAGACTCTCTAGAACAGAAGAAGGGAATGGAGATAGCATTGGAGAGAAATGCAGCTTTATTAGAGCATAATAGTACGGCTTTGCAGCATAGCACGGCTTTGCAGCATAAGAGTACGGCTTTGCCGCCTTCCACGGCGCCAACGCTTCCAACTACGGCATCGCCATCGCTGCCAACCACTGCGTCGCGGACCGGCAATAGCACCGAAACAACTACTGCATTTGTAGCGAGAATCCATTTACCACAGCGGCCTCCAGTTGTGACGACCTTGGATGTAGCTATAATTTCATCCGCACCACCAGCAACAAGACCTCCAGTCGTGACAGTGCTACCAGATACTTCAACCGCCTCAACACCATCTCTCCTTTTTTCACGACAGGATGCTGCTGAACTCCTGTTGTCCATTAGACGTCTGCTCAAACGAGCTGCTACAACTGTGGTCTTCGAGCGCGCTGGGAAGGTGCCGGTTTTGACGGTGAAAGATATGGGTCACGTGCTGTGGAAGGAATTGACAAACGGTTACGAAGAAAGCGCTCTTCATGATCCCATGATTTCGACGAAAAGACTAGCAGAAATATTGCAAAAGAGAACAAACTTTGATTTCAAAGTCATCGATGTGGGAGGGTCGGGCGAACAGTTAGCCTTTGTCAAAATTAAGAACTCAAAATTAAGACCTGCAGCTAGACTGCTTGATGATAATTTGCTTCTCCTATGATGGTCATGGATAACTTACACCATGCTGAAGCGTAAGCTACGGGGTAGATGTAAAATCTTTTCTGCTCCTCAATGTTGGAAAAACAAATAGGGAATAGTACAGACTGCATAATCTGCTACTGAAATTCAGTAGTACTGCTGCTGCCTCTAGTACTATCCCGCTGCCAAGAATATGTTCTTCAACAACGTGTGCTCCTCGTACAACAATGAATTCTTTTCCATTCTAATACCTGCAACCAGAGCATAAGCCGGAGTCCCTCTCAGCTTTGCCAGCAAGTCGAAAAAGACTTGAAATCTATTCGCAACCTCGAGATGCAAAATTCGGATCGTAAAATTTTTTGTCTTGCAGCGCGTTTGCTGGGCTTATTGGACGAGGACGAGACTGGTACAGGCACTGGGAAGATGTTACAGCATCAGGGTCAGCAGCTGGTCGTCATGCAGCAAGAAGATGAAGGTCCTTTATATCATGGCTCCACTAATACAACATCTGCGTTGTTGGACCAGGACGGTTCCACTGCCATAACGTCCTTGGACGGTTCCACTGCCATAACGTCCTTGGGCGGGTCCACTGCCATAACGTCCTTGGGCGGGTTCACTACCACCATGTCCTCTTCTACTAGTCTACTAGTACAAAGTAGAAAAGCTTCTGCGAAGTTGCTGAGGGTGTACTTCCCAGGCACTTGTTTGTGGGATTTCCCTGATCTGGGAAACAAGTGCGTAGAGGATAATGCTGGAGGGGAAGCTTCATCGGTCTTTCACAAGGACTGGGTATTTGCTCACAGAGAACCTCATAGAGTTGGGAAAAAGCAGGGGAAGAAAATGACGAAGAAGGGTGGATCAACGAGTGGGGAACGCATATTGCTTGGTACGGGAACCGGTAGTGGTAAGCAGAACAACATTTTCGAGCTGGTATCCGTATCGAGAGAAATAGCTGCGCGAGTACTGACTACTGAGACTAAGTCGAGGACTCTTGAAACTACCAGTACCAGTAGAGATGCGTACCCTCGTCGAAACCTTCCCGCTCCACCAAGCTTGATCTTAGAGAAAGGAGCTTTAAAGACCTTCCCAGCTGCCAAAAATGAGGACGAAGCGAGTGCGGTGCTGTCAGAGATTAACATCCTAGACGAGTTGAGCAGGAAATATCCTGTTCATATTGTCAACGTGAAGCGGGTTTATGTGGAAGGAACTCCAGATGAAAATACCGTCCTGACCCCTAGAAGAAGTCATGCCGGCGACAGAAGTGCTACATTTGGAGCATATCTTCCACCGGTGAAATTAGTGATGGAAAAGTGTTCCGGTGATTTGACCACTGCATTTGCGAAAGTTTATGGCAACAAGTACAAGACTACTTAAGAAAAAGACTGACTCTAAGTAAGACTCAGACTCGGTTTCGATTGTAAATTTAACTAGGAACTAGTACATTCCGGATGAAAAACTCAGATGTTCCACATGATATGCTTCTACTAAGACCTATAGTGCCTTTTCCGAACAAAGTAAAAATCGAGGCCCTTGGTCTAAAACTGATACAAGTAGCAGGAAGCTCTAATGACCTCAAAAAGATCTTCAGGGACGACAGAGACAAAACAAACAAATATGGGGCACGACGTCCGTGGACGGACCGGTTGCGTCGATTGAAAGAGAGACGAATGAACAAGCCAGTCTCTTGTTGAGGATTCTAGACACAATCCGCCAAGTACTTCAGTCTGTGCATGCCGTACACGAGTCTGGCTATGCGCACTTAGACTTGAAAGCGAAGAACTTGTTACATTGTCCCTCAGAAAGCGAAACTTCTTCTACAACACTTTTTGCGACATCTTCGCAGCTGGTGTTGAAATTAGCAGATTTTGGTACTGCTAAGAAACTAAGGAGCGACAACGTTCGGAGGAACAGGAAGACGAAGGGCAGTGATGAAAATGAAGAGGATGTTGATCATGGTAGTACGAAGACGATGCCGAAGATTGTGTTTCACGAAGAAGATGCCTGGCAGACACCTGGAATAGTGTCACCAGATCTTGCGAGTTTGTATCTGCAACAACACGACGAGGGGCGATCTCCACAGCAAGTCGCACAGGCTTCTGGTTCTGTCGATGTAGACACGAAAGATGCAGATGTCTTACAAAAGGCAGATATTTGGGGTGTAGGGCTTATTTTGGAATCTCTGATCATGTCTACTCTAGAAGAAGGAGGAGCTGGAGACCCCTCAAAACGTGAAGAGGAAATTTTTGCTGAAGTCACAGCAGCAGCGATGGGAGACTTCTTATTTGAGGATTATAGTGCGTCGATGGTCCTCTCGGATGTTCCGCTTGCTCCGCTTGATGGCTTAGGTGGTGTTGATGTCGATGTGGTTCCGGCTAGCATCGGAATAGCTGCTTCCGACGATCTGTCCAGACGACGATCCATGCTTACAACTGTACGAGACACCTTCTTGGGCACGCATGGTCACAAAGTCACAGCTGCAAGACGGAAAAGAATATTGGAAGGCTTGAAAAAACGAAATTTTTCTTTGGGCCTGCGTCCACTTTGTGATTCAGAGACTACACGTGGATCTCCACCTGGGCGGCCAGTACAGGTTGAAGATACAACAGACCAGACTACACGACGTCGAAAAAGAGATTGTTTTATAGACACAACTAGCCTTGTTCTACTCGCTCCACTTGGTGTTGATACAGATGAGACTGCACGAGAAGGAGCTACTTCGATAGACACAAGAGGAGCAGCAGGAGCAGCACCTTCAAGCAACGGAACATCATTTTCACTCCGTCCAGCAACAACAACGACAGAGGACCCTTTCAAGGAAAACAATGCTGTGGAGAACTTCTACATCGAGCTTGAGGACGTTCTCGAGAATATCAAGGATAACGATGATGCTGTAGACGCGTGGTGTCAGAAACTGGAGGACTTCTTGAGGGTACGCGTAGAAAAAAAGAGGCATCTTCCAGGAGCCATATTCTGTTTAACGGAAAGGATGCTATCGCCAGTTACAACAAGGAGATGGACTGCAGAAAAGTTGTTACACACGTTTTTTCGACGTTTGGATGACTCAAAGCCATGAGCCTTGCAAGACTTAGGCCTGTTATTGCTAAGTCTTTCAGTAAACAAGATGTTAAGTTAAGTAGTGGAGTCTAACAAGAAAGTGGTGTTTAGTAGAAGTAAAAAGTAGTAGATATCATGACATATTCTTCTTTCTGAGTCATCGTCGTGTTGTAGCCATTCTGATGTAGCAAGTATAGTTTGGACAAGAAGAGTATTGTTTTTTTTCTCTTCTTTTTGCCTTGCAGGCATACAAATAATAACCACCAAGCTTTGCGCTCTAGTCCGATTTTGGAATGTCGCATATTTTAGGTTACGATTTCCTGTCTTACAGGGCTTTTTTTCCTGTCCTATCAGAGAAATCCTATGTGGTCTCTACCCTAAACCTTAAATGCCTCTGCCCCTCCAGCAGACAGACTCCATAGGCTGTACAGTCTCAGTCACGACACGCAGTTCTCAACTCTATTTTATGTGACTCAACCTGATCATTTTTCCCACCTGATCATCTGTTTCTCCCGCTGCACGAGCACAGTCGACAGGAGGCCAACACCTCGTCTAGATTTAGCTGCATCCACCTTTTTCAACCGAGAACTTCACGCCGTTTCTTCATCTGGTGTGGTCTATAATTTCTGGTTTCATGATCCCTCTCTACCCTCTAGTGGTCTCGAATGACTATTTCTACCAGATGAAGCTCGTTGACTAAAGCACGCGGATCAGTAGATTAGATTCATCGACCTCGGTTAGGGAGAGTCCTCTAGGATCATAAGTACTGACTGTTCAGGTAATAAAAGCGAAACAACATGATCAAGAGAGTTGTGCGGGAGACGATCAAAGAACAAGAAGAGAGGGTTGAGGAATCAGAAACTCCATATCATCTACAAGTACAAGATCAAATTATTGTCCATTTCCTCTGTCATTTGTTCCAAGTGGTCCCATGATGCTTGTCGCGGCCGCTCATCCTTATACAGTAGTCTACATGTTGCAGTCCCTCCTCACATTTGTGTCCAACACTATGGTATGTCTACTGCTACTCTTCACAATCCCAGAGTACGATTTGTTAAACGCTGTTTTGGTAAGTTACAAAAGCTTTTTCACTTTCACAACAAGAGCTGCGGTCTTGTTCGCAACTTTCTGCGCATTCTCAAAGAATTTCAAGAACCTTCGAAAAAACCTCTAGAAACATCTGGAAAATTACATCGAGAAAAACTTCTTCTAAAGATCCAACTAAAAAACATCTTCTAAAGATCCTAGCCCTAAGGAACCAGCGAGACACTAGAGTAGACTGATTGGAGCATGACCTCAACTGTTGAGGCGATTCCCAATCGTTGTGAGCTGATTTCCTTAAACTCTCAGGAATTGCACGAACTCTAAAAGTTCTACTATGACTCCTTCAGTATTCATTATTTGTTCATCTTTGTACTCCACCTAAGAGAATCAAGAATACAGTTTTTTTCCCAACAAGAACTTTTCCAGAATTATAGTCCATAACAGAGTTATCGTTCACCTAAGTACTGAAGAAAAGAGACAGACTTTGTATTACAAACTCAAACTGATGTAACCAAAATGAAAATCGCGAAGAATTACAAATCTACTAGCTCTACTTGTATTAAATCAACAAGGTAATCTTCCGAGACTTTTTCTTGTCGAGGATTCATTACAATTATTAGGGATCTACCGTTGTTGTTGTTATCTGAGTACCAAGATGAAGATCCATAGTTGTAAGAACAGCAAGATCTCAGCACTAGGATCAGACTGATGAGGCTCAAGATCAAGATCAGGATGATCAGGACAGGCTCAAGCCATATTAGAGATCCACCAAGGAGATCCCCAGGATTCTGATGACTGAAGGGACTGACTGCAGCCACAAGGATGAGACGACCACCAACCATCGCCCATGTTTATGCCTTCAGGTTTGTTATCGTCGCTGACGACTACCCTCATAAGGATAAGGTTTACGTCACGCCGTTGAGGCTCTTACGTACTTGCGCGGTCTTCGTAGTCTAGTGCACTTACGCTAAATAATAAGTAAGAACTACTACAAATAATCAAAGGAGCTAACAAATTCAGAGATGAAGAGCCTTCTCGTCCTCATCAAGCACAACAGAATGAAGCGTGCTATTGTACCAATTGTGGTTTCCGGAGGAGCCCTGTTGTCTGCTCGCGCAGCACTCTTGGGAGAACCAGGAGGACTCTTGGGAGACGTGAAGAACTCAACAAGGATGCTGTGGAGTTGTGTCAAGGGTCTGTCGCCGCTCTCAACGCCAGCGTCTGTAATCCCAATAATTGGGCTGCCACTTGGCGAAAGGTCGGAGACCATATGAGGAGCCCTGAACCTACTTGTGGCGGGACGTACGTGAGCCCAAAACAAATGGCTGGTGATACAGGAACTGGAACAGGAACTGGTGTTCCACAACAGGAAGAGGACGTTGAGACTCCTGGTGGAACAGCAACTCCGAAAGCTCCTGGAACAACTCCAACAATCGATCCATGGATGTGGGGTGGGTTTCATTCGACGGGTGTAAGCGTCTCGGATCTGACAGCACCTCCAGATGATAACTCTTCTTGGACGGGATGGCTGGGCGAATCGAGCGTGAGATATGTGAAAGACAACTGTGGGGGCCCCAAACCAACTGGGGCCGTGTCTGCAACTCCAGGTCAAGGTGGTCAAGGAGGTCCTCCAGCTGTGGCCGAAGGCGCGGCAAGCGATCCAGCCACGTCTTCTTCCACCGGTTGCAGAGATGTTGTCTCTGGACCTCTCGACCAATGGAGAGTCGGAGTCACAAATGACTGCCGCTGGTTAAAGAACGCGTCTGGTGTGGTCTTAAACAACAACACGTTGCGCAACTATCGCGAACATACGGTCGATATGTTCCGAGGTGCCGTAGAGATGCTACATGGAGCTGGGCATTTGGCTGTTGGAACAGTGGAAAGTTCCGCTTTTATGGCCGCCGCAGCCACCACTGCCGCTTTCTCGTTCGTGTACGCGCCTTTTTACGGCGTGTATCATTGCATTTCTGATCTGTGCAAAAGTACAAACCGATTGGGCGAACCGCAAGCACCTGTCGTTGATATGTTTCCGAGAGAAACTGCCCAGGCAGGGCCCGCACAAGTAGCTGCAGCTGGAGGTCAAGGCCAGGCAGCTCAAGGAGTCGCGCAACAAGCTCAAGGTCAAGGAGTGGGTGCCATTGCTGCGCAACGGGAGATGGAAAGCTCTGAAGATGCGAGCGGCACGTACTGGTATGAAATGATGCAGTTTCGCCTATTGTTGAGACAGGTCTCCTGGCTCGTCGAAAACGTCGCACTGAAAAATGATATGTGGAAAATCTCTACTCCTTCTCTGCGAGGACCTTCTGAAGGAGTTCCTGCCGTGAAAGCGTTGACGTTACTGCCAACGAGTGGAAAAGATATGATGCGAGGACGAGGAGAAGGAGAAGGGTTGGCGCCCACCGAAGAAGCTGCTGGTGCTGCTGACGAGCACTCCCAATCGTCTGCTGAGGAGGATGTTGTCTGGACTAGAAACATGTTTGAGCATGCTTTGCCGCCAGCTCCGGCAAATGAAAGTCGGTATGCTGCAGGAACAGTTGCAGGGACTCAGACAGCAACAGAAGCGGTTGAAATTTCGACTCTTCCCATGGTGAAAAGTCGAGTGGGATTGAGGAACAAGATCTTGGGAGATATCCGCCGAACCACTACAACTGATGGCGCCCAACCAAATGTCTCTGGAGCTGGAAGATTTGCAGCTGGAACAACTGTCCGCGATCCGTGGATTCGTTCCTTCGATGATGCGCGTTTTCCTCGTTCTATGCTGTTCAGTGTTTACGATCCGAACACACGAGATGACAACGGAAAACCGTGGGACAGACTGGTAAAGTCCTTGTCGGATGCCCATGACCGAGCACCAGCAACGCGTTCCAGCTCCCCGAGAGCGTCGCTGGAAAGAGCAAAAAAATTGTTGTCGCCCGAAGCCATGATTAATCAATTCAATACAGAAGCTGCGGAGGCAGAGAGCATTGGCCCTATTGCGCAAGCGATGAAGCCATCCATGTTGAGACAACTGGTGCCTCACGTGGTTGCTAAGAAGTACGAACGCTTTTTGAAAGAAGCTCTCGCCGTGTATCAATACCTTGGAAATAAGCTACAACTTGGTGTCGCGACAGGGGACGAAAGCGCGAATCTTCTGGCTCAAAAAGTAATTGCGGGAGGGCCTGAACCTCATGTCGAGATCAAATACAGTCGAGAACGCAACGCTTGGCTCCTTGTTGAGAACAACATGCAGGCGTCCGCGGCCACACCTACTTTCACGATTCTGGAGGTCATGGGAGAGGGGGAAGAGGTAGAGGCCTCGACTGACGGATCGGAAGCCTGGTACATTGTCGAAGAATCCCTAAGTGCTCCACGACAGGATGAAGTGGGTCCTCTGTCGGAAGATGCTACCGCTAACGCGCTTAGCTACGCCTCTCTGTTGCGTGAGTACAACACTCAGGGAAAGCTTATCGACCTCTTCTCTCGTGATGAAGATCTCGCTGATTTATTTGATCCCTCTACAACTGCAACAACACAGCAATTAGCGCAGGTTTTCTACAAAAAGGCCAATCTCGTTCTGACCGTGTATAACTGGTACTTGAAGGAAGCGAACGCTGCCTTGTTGCATGGCAGCATTAAACACTTTTTGCACAAGGAGTCCAGGACCGGCATTTTACTTATGGCAGCTCGTTCTCAAAGTATTGCCATTTGTTCCTCAACAAATTATAATTTTCAACGCAATTATTTTATCACGTTTCACTTTTTCTCTTTCTAGTTTTCCTGTAACTAAACCGTAACGACCTCTTAATCTCTTAATAGGAGGTTGATGAAGCTGAGTCTTCATCCTCAATGTAAACCAGGAGAGTGAGCTCCTAAGGAAATGACTTTTCTAATCCTAATATCGTATCCTAATGATCCTATCATATGGTCCTATCCACGTACTTATCCTCATGAGTGATGCTCTCATGTTCTTATCCTCATGGTCCTATCCACGTACTTGTCCTCATGAATGATACTTTTGTTCTCTTCTTCATCTTCTAATGTAAAACAAAGAAAGCTGCGTCAGAGTGCGAGCACTGCTGCAAAAGAACGATTCCCCAGGAAGTGGACGCAGAGTCACGTAATGTGGCACTTTTTCCATGCTTTTCAGGATATTCAACGCCGCATGCAATTTCCAGTCCGTAGAAACATGCTGTTGTTAAGGGTTACCAAATTACATCCCGCACTCACATCCTTGAAAAGGGCGCCAAGGATGGTCTGAGGAGTGTAATTTTGCAACCTCTTCTAATGTTGTCGAGAGCGGAAATCGATGCTGTTGACACGCAATTAGGCCAGAGTCGTCCACCTCGTCCTCGGCAAGAACAGGTTGGGCAAGGGCCGCGTCCAGAGTCGTGGGTGGAGGCCTTCGGAGAAGCAGTCGAAAAGCTCAGCACTATGATCGCGCATCGCGATTTGAACTGTCAAGTGGGTCTGACCATGATGACGCGACCCCGCACACACCGCATTACAGTGGAAAGAGCCGTCAGAGCAGAGGAACAGGACATGGGGAAAAGGTACCGGGACAAAGCGGCTCAAGCTCAACTTAAGGCTCAAAACAATTCATTTCTACAGGTCATTTCTTGCAGTTTCCTTCTTGGATTTCTGAAGAAATGCAGGCAAGAAATGAAACGTTTTCAGCTCTAATCAACGAGGAGAAACGGTCCGGCTAGCTC